GTCTCAAAAATAAATAAACGTTAAAAAAAAAAAATTAAAAAAAAAGAAGTATTTCCTGTACGCTCTATTATGTACATATCCTTAGAGAAGATGCTTCAAGGAGACAGAGTACCAAAGAGAGATATTATTAAAGAATAAAAGAGCAAGTACCCTTATTTTGTAGCAATCTTCTTCCCTTGTCTGCTTTTGCTCATCGCTGCACCCCCAGCATCTAGCATGGGGACTGGCATAAAGTAGGTACTCAGTAAAGATCTAGAGAATGAATACTCCAAAAAAAATCAAATGTTCAGCAGCCAGAGAATCAAATGTTCATGACAAAATGGTAGATATTCAAAAATAATTATCTATGATTATTTAACTAGAAACCACAACTGTTGGAACAAAAATACCTATTTAACTTTAGGAAAAGTAAATGAAGTTCTCCCAATATAATTTTATATTGTAAAATTAGTTCCATGATTTCCAGAAAGGAATGAATCTGACCACAGAACAGTTATGTAAGAATACATGGACTGGGGCACCTGGGTGACTCAGTCTGTTAAAAGTGTCCAACTTTGGCTCAGATCATGATCTCACAGTTTGTGAGTTCAAACCCTGCATCAGGCTCTGTGCTGACAGCTTGGAGCCTGGAGCCTGTTTCAGATTCTATATCTCCCTCTCTGTCTCTGCTCCTCCCTCACTCAAGAATTTCCTCTCTTTCAAGAATAAACATTAAAATAAATAAATACATACATACATACATACATACATGGACTGAACTGAATGAACAACTCAATGACTATTTTAATGTGAAAACATTTCAATTCTGGAACTTCAAACAATAAGAGTTCAATCTGTATCCCTGTTCTAAACTAATCAGTATTTCTCATGGCTTAGAAAAACAGGAAGGCAGATGATGTAGTTGTCTTTAGTAGGTTGTTTTAGAAGGTGGCCCGTTGGCTTTGGTCTATTCTTCAACGTTTTTGTTTTTGTTTTTGTTTTTTATTTTTGGGACAGAGAGAGACAGAGCATGAACGGGGGAGGGGCAGAGAGAGAGGGAGACACAGCATCGGAAACAGGCTCCAGGCTCTGAGCCATCAGCCCAGAGCCTGACGCGGGGCTCGAACTCACGGACCGCGAGATCGTGACCTGGCTGAAGTCGGACGCTTAACCGACTGCGCCACCCAGGCGCCCCGGCTTTGGTCTTTATTCTTAAGGGTATCTTTGGATAGATTTCTCTCAGTCCACACCAGTGGTCCTATATACAATTACAGCACTATTTTTCAACATGAAAGTTAAACAGAAAGTCTATGATTCTATAAGGGGAAAGGCCTACTTAAAGTAGTACTCCATCAAAGAGTGACTACTATTTACATAATTCCTCCGCTAGACACACATTATAAGCATTTGTTCAATAATTCCCTAAACTCTTTCCTTGAAGCATGCCAAGTGCTAGATGCAGGATGATTTTTTTTTAATTTTTTTTTTTTTTTAACGTTTACTTATTTTTGAGACAGAGAGAGACAGAGCATGAACAGGGGAGGGGCAGAGAGAGAGAGGGAGACACAGAATCTGAAACAGGCTCCAGGCTCTGAGCTGTCAGCACAGAGCCCGACGCGGGACTCGAACTCACGGACCGTGAGATCATGACCTGAGCCAAAGTCGGACGCTTAAGCGACCAAGCCACCCAGGCGCCCTTGCAGGATGATTTTTAAAAGTACCACTGAATTCTTGGGGCGCCTGGGTGGCTAAGTTGGTTGAACATCGACTCCTGATTTCAGCTCAGGTAATGATCTCACCGTTCGTGAGCTCGAGCCCCACGCCTGGCTCCATGCTGTCAGCATGGAGCCTGCTTGGGATTCTCCTCCATCTGTCTGTCCTTCCCCTGTTCACTTTTTCCCTCAAAATAAACAAACTTAAAAAAAGCTCTTTTATAAATAAAGAAATAAATAAATGTACCACTGAATTCTTAATATCTCAAATCTCCCAAAGATGTAAATATCCTCATTTCTACTTATATGCACGCTACACTACTGATACATTCCAGGTAATTTATGCATAGGTTCCATCAATTTATCATCTATACTGAGAAATGTTTTTTCTTTTCCACTTCTAATTATAACATAAGCTTCCTGAGAAAAGGAAATGCTTAAGCAAAACTTTATGAACTTCACACCTCTTGTAAAGTGCCATAAGGGGCAGGGAGGGGGAGGGACTCCTTGTACCTGTGTTTTACTGTGTATAAAATATGCATGCACTGTATCATTTCCTCAGTGGCCTTGCGGGTTAGGCAGGGGAAATGATAGGATAAAGGCCCATGTCTCAAGGTGGGTGGGTAACACAAGCAAAATCCAGTGTGCTTTGCACAACATTATGCAGCTGTGTACCTCGTTAGTGGTCCTTAAACATAGACCTAATGTGAACTCCAAAAGACTGTTCAAGGTATTTTATTATATAACAGTTTTATAATGGTCTATAGGCTGGTGTTCAACAGTCTTCATTCTATCAATTTACTTAAATTAACACCATAATTTTTATACATTTACTCTAAATTTTAGAAAAGTTTGCTTCTCTAGGTGTAAGAGATAAGCAAATAAATATACTATGATAAAATTTCAAGAATATGATTTTTCCACATGGCTGGGAAAATCTATAGCATTTATTACTCAAAGCATTTTTCTAAGATAGTTTATAATCTTAACCCAGTAACATAGGCAATTCAAGGAATTAAATATAAAGGGCGTGTTTACTTAGAACTAAACTTGAACTAGATGTACCTTATTCTAAATTGAGGACAGAATAGGTCAAATCATAAAGCATAATCTTATTAGAAGCAATGGCTAAGGAAACAAGTCAAGATAGGAGTTTTACTGTTGTGGGACTTTCTTAATATCAAAAACAGCAGACTGAAAATAAACGGAACTAAAAACCAAAGGAACTAAGCATTAGCAACTGAACTAAATCCATTTCCTTGCCTTCCAAAAGAATTTTAACAGCTTTTAAAACTTAAGTAGACTGTCAACATAGCCTAAGTCTATGTTACATTGATAATAAAATGCAAATGTTTTTACACTTTAACATCTCTGAAACTGAGGGGGGCGGGGTGCCTGGGTGGCTCAGTCCGTTAAACATCCGACTCTTGGTTTTGGCTCAGGTCATCATGTCACGATTCATTAGTTCGAGCCCCGTATCGGCCTCTGTGCTGACAGTGTGAAGCCTGCTTGGGATTCTCTCACTCCCTCTCTCTCTGCCCCTCTCACATGCGCTCACTCTCTCTCAAAATAAATAAACTTTAAAAAAAAAGTCTTTAACATCTCTGAAATTGGGATGCATCATACAATCTATGGGATGTTACAGTTTAACTGGCAGCATTTCTTCCTTCTAGGTGGTACATAAAACGATGGTGGATCTTACAACTGATGACATTTTAGATTTGATGAAATATTGACCATATCATGCCATGATTTTACTATACAGATCACTCAATCCATTTTATTTTTAGTTTCTTATTTTAAGTAGGCCCCATGCCCAATGTAGGGCTTGAACTCACCACCCTGAGATCGAGAGTCACACGATTCACTGACTAAGCCAGCCAGGTGCCCCCACTTAATCCATTTTAAATGGAAGGTAGTGAGACATATTCACTCACACCACACTTAATGAATTTCACTGAGTGGCTAATTATTACATAGGAGAGTGACAATGAGGTATGTGGGAAAATGAAAGGGTTTTGAAGAAGACAAATCTGGAGCCAATTTTGGCTGTCACATTATCATGTAAACATAGAGAAGGGTCTTAGCTTCTCTGAGCTTCAGTTTTCTCGCCTATAAAATGGGCACATCTATCCTGCAGAGTTATGTGAATGAATTACCATATCCAAAGTGGCTCGTAATTAGTAAATACTCAAGTATCCATTCCATCTTTTCTTGACATATACCTATATGGTTTAACTCAACAAACTATAGAGAAGATTCACTGTAATTCTGAATAAGTTATGATTTGGGACCCTTGATGAACCAGGCTATAGTGTGTACATTAAAAAAAAAGAAATGAAAAAGATAGCAGGTAAGGCAAAAAATAAAATCACTCTTCTTACCTGGAATTTCTTGTGTTCTCTGGATAGTTTTCTTTGAGACTGTTTGGCTTAAAATAGTTTGTGAAGATGGTTCATCCTCTAAAGAACAGAAATGACAACTGTCAAAATTCAGAATATATGATCTGGTACAGATTATGCACCTTAATAGTAATATAAAAGCAAAAATGCACATAATTCATTTCTTTAGCAATGTGTAATTAAGCCTAACAAAACTTAGGAATTTGGGTCTAACTACTCTTGAGGCAATATAAAAACAAATTATTTACCTTTGATGCTTTACTATAAAAGTCTACTACTTTAGAAATTTAAAAGATGGGCTACAGTTTCAGAAATGATGTGGGAGAAAGCAGAGGAGTGAAAAATGTTTAAACCCTTATAGATTTTTTTACTAAAATAGAGGTAAATCCTTCATGTGTTAAAAAAGTTGATAACACTGCACCAGGTTCTGTGGCAGAGTCCATATAATGTAACATTTATTGCCTACTTGTGCAAAGCATTCCTCAGATACTGAAGGAGGTACAACCTAACTTCAATGATGGGATCTTTGTCTTCAGGTTTCTAACCTTAAAAGAAGCACACACTAACCTATATATGAGCTAAACTGTCTTGAGTACCTACACCCAGTAGTAACTTACACAACTTTAACATAAAGTTTTCCACATCAACGCATCTTCAAACGTGTCAGCACTTCAGGTGTCAATAGGTATGTGCTGCCTCTGACTGCTCTGAGCTGAAAATCCACCTCCTTTTCCTGGCCATCAATGGTTTACCCGGTAATTATGTAATCCCATTGTGATTCAAACCCTCGGATTTTTACCTCATAGGTGCCTTACGTGGGGCTAAAACAAAACTTCACCTGTGACTCAGGATTAGAAGGGGAAGAGGGAGGTGGGTGGGAGAGGATGGCTTAAGGGAGTTGATTCACCTGTGACTTACCTAAAACTATACGCTCACTTTGTCAACATCCTTTTGGCCCATTTAGATAAAAACTAAGAATCCTGTTTCGTCAAGCTACTTAACCAATGAGGTTACACTGAGGAACCTCAAGTGGCGAATTTTTGCAGAGATCACCACACGTGAGACAGAGCGATCAGCTCAACGTTCAGGATAACTGACTTAGCCCACCTCGGTGTAAGTACCTGGGAGGGGTCTCAATCAATTCATCAACCACTCTATCCCTTGAAACGCCCACTCCCCAAATTTCCCTTCCCTCTCCCCTGACCTGGGTAGCGTCGGAAAAAGACTGGAAGGTTACATTAGAACCATAACTCTCAGCTAGGGACTTCTGGCTTTTCAGAGTTAAAGGAGGAAATGGAAGTGGCTTTGGTAGCAACATCCGCAGGACAGAGGAAACTGAAGTGAAACGGGAGTCCCAAGTGTTTTGATGTCGCGCCTGCCACCTAACTCGTCCACCCTCCGTGACGGCCTGCAGATAAAGGCAATTCGGGACGCCCCTGCTCGACGCACAGGGATGCGCAGAGCTCCCGGATCAGGTCGCTCAGCACGACTGCCTACCCAACCCTCAGCCGCCTGCACCTCTCGCCCGCCTGCGGTCGGGGCGGACCCCGCGTGGGGGCGCCCGTCTATCCGCGCCGCGGAGCCACTGGAGCCCCGGCGGGGATGAGCTGGGCGGGAGCTTACGCCCGCCCGACACGCGCACACACCGCTCGCGCCCGCGCGCCTGCGCTCGCTCCCCGGCTCGCGGCGGAGACTGTTACCTCCGTCGGTCTCACCTTCAGAGGAATGAGAGTCCCGTAACCCTCTCCTGGTCGTAACCGGAGACGGCTCTAGCAGAGGCTGCTGTGAGTGCTGCTGCTGTAGACGGGTAGTCCTTCGCGTCTTCATCTCCTCGGCTTCCTGGAGTCGCGGCTGCCTCCTCTGCCGAGAACGAAGGTAGTAGGCGCTTTCTCTCACTTCCTCTTTCTCAGAATCAGGCCGGAACTCTTCTAGCGGGACTCGTCTTCTCGCCGGGGACTTTTCCTTGGCTACCCGGGGCTCGAAGTCGCCGTACACTTCTGGCGGCTCTTCCGAGAACCTCACTTCCCGCCGGCCGGGGCGCGACGGCGAAGGAATTCCGTACGCAGGCGCGTCACTGCCGCCGCCATTTTGAGGGGCGAGCCGGCGCCTACCCTCCCGCAAGGGGGGCCGGGGTGTGACGTATAGCCCCCATCCTTCCCTCCCCGGCTCCGCCCGCCTCCCGTCGCCCGCCATAGTTGTTGACGTAGCTTGAGTCGATCGCGAAGGTGGATTTGGGGTCCCTAGATTCTCCTGCCGTGGGTGGCGACGACTTTTCGGGGTGTCGGGCGGTGCTCGCGGCGGTCAGGGAGGCAGTTGAGAGTCGCCGGGGCCTCCGCCTGCGTCGTCGCTGCTGTGCTGCAAACCCGCCTCTGGGCCCATGGTGTGTCCTGAGGGCTGTGGGAGAGGCAGTGCCTATGCTGGGTCAGCTGCTGCGGGTCACTCCCGCCTCCTGGCTGAAGGCACCAAAGAGGAGGAGAAGAGGGAGGACGACGTCGCTGTCCTTGGCCTTGGGGGAAGGTGGGAGGGGACGACGGAGAAGGGACAACTGGCTGGGCAAATTGCCTTTCCTGAGCCCAGCTGCTCGTGGCAACTGTTGCCCGCACGCAGGAGACGCCGGTCCTGGCCCCCTGTTCCGAGTTTCTGGGGGAAGGCCGAGCGAAAGTCGGGGGTGGAGGGGGGGGGGGGAGAAGTTTCGGTCTTCGCCCCCAGGCTGTTGCGCAGTTTTCCTGGAACCTTTTTGATCGACGCCTACCTTAGCCATGCCTTTCCAAACTTATTACTGGAGTAATGATATAAAGATCCTTTTGCAAGGGCTATCTTTTCTTGGAAATTTCTTAGTTTTTAAGCCCCTTGTGAAGGCAGCCAGTTTTAAATTTTAAGTCACCTGTTGAGAGTGCAAAGTCGTATTTGCAGGTATACGCTCGGGTAGATTTCCATTTGCAGAATGTATGCAGTCTTATTCCTGGCTTTCGTGTTAAAGCTGTATTCCAGCAGCACTGTTCGGAAACCTTATTAGTGCTGTGTTATGGACGTAGATGTTTGATAATAACTTTGATTAAATAAGAGCGCTGTAATTTTAACTTAATGGCCCATTCTTATTTTGATTCTGGGCATGACTTGATCTACTGACTTTGATTTAGGGTTTCTTGCGTTTAGTTTATTGAATAAGAAAGCATGATAAAAGCTGTTTGTTTCAACTTTTCATATTTACAGATGTGGATAACCTGCAGTAACTAGCCAAATTTAGACATATAGAAAGTCAATAATTGAGAGAAAAGATTGTTCCCTCAAACATATACACTTGTCTTGGAAGACTTTCTAGAACTTATTTTAGTGAGTAGGTTTAAGAAATTGTAATTTTGGAAACCAATTACTGAGTCATTCTGAAATTTTGGAAGATGTTTATTTCAAGTATTTTAAATCACCTTAGAACGTTTTTCAGTGACTCGTTTGCTTAAACTGGGCACAAATTTCAATTTAATGAAAGCCTCAGGTGTATTATATTTTCACTAATTGTCCATACATTTGGCTAGATAGTTACATGCTTTAGAGAGTCACCTAGGTTTTAGACTGTTAGGATCAGTAGTTTAGTTCTGTTTACAATATACAATATAGCCAAAGAAGCTGGAGGAACAGTATCAAAGGAGATGCTGCTTTTTTTTTTTTTAACTTTTTAAGGGAAAATTAAAACTCTAGTGTTCTCCTTTGTCCGCTTGGGATAAGTGGTATTGTATGTGGAAAATTTGTGAGTCTTAATTCTTTTCTGATAAAATGCTGAAAAGTACTGATACTTGGTAATACCTGGCTTTTATTCACGATTTAAGTAACCCTTTCTCTATAAGGTGCCTATTATAGTGCTCATTAACATATAATTGTAAAAATTCTTTCATGTAATTTTTAAAGGATATAAAACTTTAATAGTGTTAATATACAAAGTTCATATTATGAACATCAGTGCATATTAAGTACATCTTTAAAACATTTACCAGTATCGTCTCTACATAGACACTTTGGATACAAACTTTAAAACTTAGGTTTGGGGACATATTTAAAAACAAAGGACAAGAGGTTCTACATGTTGCTGAATAATCAGAGAAGATGAGAGGTTCTACCTGTTGAATAATCAGTACGGTGGTGTTTTGAAATTTTAAAATGCTTGTAAAAGCTTAGGAAAGAAACTAATGGCTTTCACTTTCCAAAGAAACAAATCATGAGAACATTAAGTAAAGTCAGAGGCATGGTAGCTTTAACATTAACACATATATTTGCTTAGGGTTTTCCCTCTTTGGTCTAGATAATAATCCATAATCCTAGCCCTGGCATAGTCTAGGATTGTCTCCCACTCCTAGCAATCTTACAAATACCAACTTTCATCACTAACTGTGAAGTGAGGCTAAACTCTTATGAAACCAGATATTCTGCTGTAGGTGTTTTCTAAACTGTAAGAGTGGCCCCAAAAGACTTGACGTTAGAGGCAGTAGATTCATAGCCAGTAGTGGAAGGGGTTTGCTGGGTCACCATTACCAAGAGGGGGCATGAGCTCTGGTTGTTAAACAATTACTTTGGGAACGTGAGAGATGTGGAGGAATTCAGTGGCTCAAAAGAGAAGACAGGTTAGAGAAGAAATGATTATAACAAAGAATACACTCATTTAATTCATATATTTATCAAACATCTATTCTGTACCAACACAGATGTTTGATAAATATATGAAAAATTAATGAGTGTATTCTTTAGCCTTAGGGTATTTGCCATATATGAGGGAAGATCTCTATTAAAAATTATAATTCAGATTAAATGGCATCAATTTGTATACCTAGCTGTTATGCCTGAGTCTAGAAATCTGTTGTTGACGCTGGATTTCTAAAACAGCTCTTTTCTTTATTTTTTTAAGTTTATGGATTTATTTTGAGAGAGAGAAAGTGTGAGTTGGGAAGAGGCAGAGAGGAAGAGAGCTATAATTCCAAGCAGGCTCTGCGCTGGCAGCTTGGAGCCCAATGCAGGCTCGAACCCATGAACCGTGAGATCATGACCTGAACCCAATTGGACGCTTAAGTGACTGAGCTGCCCGAGCACCCTTAAAGCAGCTATTTTAAAGGACACAGTTTATTTTAAAATAATGTAATTTTTGTATATGAAGTTTGTTTTTGTTTTTAGGGTAAGCAGAAATCTAGTTACTTAGAAAGCATTTATCAATTCATTGTGCATCATCACCTATCTGGTCAGATAGGAAAAAAATTCTGTTATCTTAGCAGAAAGGCAACACTGTTCCTTTTTTTTTTTTAACATTTTATTTATTTTTGAAGAGAGACCGAGTATGAGCAGGGGAGGGGCAGAGAGAGAGGGAGACACAGAATCTGAAGCAGGCTCCAGGCTCTGAGTTGTCAACACAGAGCCCGACGAGGGGCTTGAACCCATGAACTGTGAGATCATGACCTGAGCCGAAGTCAGACACTTAACCTACTGAGCCACCCAGGGGCCCCAACACTGTTCTTTTCTAATAAGGAAAAAATTAAAATATTAAAGCAAGTTCAAGAAATAGTAGCCAACTCCATTTATTTCCCATTCTCACAAGTAAATGGAAAGTATTTTAGACGGTTACTGCAAATGAAAATGTCTAGCTGGAAGTGTTATACTGAAATTAAGTGAAGTTAAATTCAATGAAATGAGTGGGATATAGTAAATACTGTTCCACTTATTCTTTATTGATTTAGAAATTGCAGTCAATTATTAAACAGTATTTAGGAATCCTGTGACTTTTGCTGAAAGAGAATGATTGAGAAATGAAGGCACCAAAAATCACCACCACATAAAGAATCATTAATCGAATAAATATTTATCTTCTGAACTGTGCTACACAATCCCTCTTCTAGGTACTGGGGATATGGTAGTGAAAGAGTAGACCAAAGACAACCCTCCCTGCCTTGGAGTTTATATTCCACGGGGGTCAGATAAAAATCAAAGTAAAATAGTGTTTTGGTCAGAAGTGTTACAGAAAAAAAAAGAGGAAAGGGAAACTGAGCTTTAGGAGAGTAGGTTTCTAATGTGTTATTTTGAGTTAGTGTACGTCAGGTACAGGAGTTTTAGACTTATTTGCCCCTAACCAATCGTGT